TGGAGGTTCTATACTTTTCTGTACTCTTGAGGCAATCTCACAAATTTCAGGAGAGCTCCTCAAACAATGACAGCAGCTGTTCCAGAGGTCTCTTGGGGCTCTGTGCAGTCACTGTACTGTACCGTTGTTCCCTCTGCCTCATGCTGGAACCATAAATAGATGAACCATACATAAAGAGGTCACGTAAGGTCATCTGACTCATAACAGGAGAGGCCCACAATTTGCAAAACGTATGATATGTTACGAATTCCAATTTGTTGTGGCTAACGTTAGCTAGGTGGCTAACGTTAGCTAGCTGGTTAACATTAGCTAGCTGGTTAAAGTTAGCTAGGCTGGCGGTTAGGGGTTAGGGTTAAGGTTAGGAGTTAGGTTAAAGGGTTAAGGTTAGGGGAAGGGTTAGCTAAAAGGGTTAAGGTTAGGGTTTGTGGAAGGGTTAGCTAACATGCAAAGTAGTTGCAAGTAGCTAAAAAGTAGTAAGTCGTTGAAAAGTTGCTAATTAGCTAAAATGGTCCTTGATGAGATTTGAACACGCAACCTTTGGGTTGCTAGACGTTTCGTGATATATGCCTACACATCCACCCCGACCAACCCCTCTCCTTTTGTTTTTGCCTTCTGTCTTATGTAACCATACCAAACGGAACATATAATACTAATTTGTGTGTCCCGGATTTATGTTTACTATGTTACATCTAGTCTATGAGACCAGGCTACATTACACCTCAGCGATAATTCACATCTAACATTTTTAGGCAACCAACATATTGATGACCATAAAGTAATCTATTATTTAATGAATCAATCAATGAAATGTCAATGGATTACGCTTTCCATTGTCTTTTTAAAAGTGAATCAAGAACTGTGCCAATATTTGGTGTCAGCCACCCCATCCCCTAACAACAGTGGCCTGTCACAGCTAATATACAGTATGACAGTGCCTGTGTCTCAATCTGTCCCCTTCATTCTGGCTGACATAGACTGTAATTGTGGTGAATGGCGAGTATTGACTGGCCACAATTCAGCTGAAGTACATCAGCGGTCTCTTGACTCAATATGTCAAACACTGTATTTTTCCTTACAATGACCAAGTCTGCTGGATGGGACAGAGGTGAGCATGGATGGGACAGTCTGCTGGATGGGACAGAGGTGACCTTGTCATTTGGTACCATTCCCATTCCTCACGGCCATGGTTTGAGGGTGGAGTGGAGAAAATGGACAGTATAATGGTGGTTAATTCTTTACAGCCTAAAAAGAGACATAGACACAGATTCAATATAGGGTATTTACTGTATTTATTGAATGATAGCATTTATGATTGAATGATAATACCATAGCGATTGATCAATAGAAAGCCTAATGCCGTCAGCAAATACCATGTAAATGATAATGTATTGGATAGTGGATCATTTTTTCATTGTTTCACGATTGAATGGATAGCAAAAATGGATCGGTACTGCTCAGAAGACTCTTCAAGATTGGTTATTATGATGCAGTACATTAACATCTGAATGTGCATCGATTCATTTCAGTACAGCATGGGTCAGGCAGTGTCACGACTCCCTCCGAAGCTGCCACCTCTCCTTGTTCGGGCAGGCTTCGGCGTTCGTCGTCACCGGCCTTCTAGCCACTGCCGCTCCTCATTTCATCATTCCATTGGTTTTGTCTTGTTCATAACACACACACCTGGTTCATATCCCCTCATCAGTACCTGTATAAGTGTTCCCTCTGCCCCCTTGTCTTTGTGTGTGATTGTTTATTGTGAGGATAGTGAAGCTCGGTGGAGCTCCTTGTATTTTGTATCGCCGGGTTATTTTCCCTGTGTGCCTTGTTGGTTCCAGTGCGCCTGTTTTGCACACTGGACTGTTTTGACGCATTACTGAGTAACTCTGTTTTCCGGAATAAATCCTGTTATTCTGTGATTTACCCTCCTGCGGCAGACAGACAATAACCCCGAGCACACATCAAAATCTACAAATAAATGGTTAATTGGCCTCAAAATCAAAATGTTGCAATGGCCATCTCAGTCTCCACACTTAAAACCCATTGGAAACCTGTGGTTTGAATTGAAAAGGGCAGTCCATAAGCGCAGGCTCAGTGCCGTTTGAAAGGTGTTGAAAACAGGGGTGTCAATAATTCTGACCCCTACCTTTTTTAGATTTTTTTGTATTACTTGTTAAACAAAATATCTTTCTCTGAGAAATTGTATTAGTATAAAATGTTCAAATTCTTTGGAGCATACAATATTGCTCAGAATTTGAATTATTTATATTATACAGTCATTTTACCTAATTTTTATCAGGGTGTCAATAATTTCAGACCCCACTGTAGACAGAGGAGAGGAGTAAAAAGTAGCAGAAAGACGGACTCTAACAGTGGCTGGACTCATTATAAAATATGTCGATGAGAACCCACCCAGCGCTAAATATTTGTAGTCTCATTGATTTTGCATGATGGATTGTTTTCTCAGTTCAAACACGGAAAATTGGGCATAATGTTCAATTGATCTACCGCACATCTCGCCCATTCATCTTTGGCCAAAACTGCCGTGTTGCTAAATCAAGGCCTTAAGTGAGTCCTGTCGCGTGCAATTTGTGACACTACACTTAAATGAGTGCACAGGGTCCTTGTGGCACATTCATAACCATACAACAATATGTATTCAATTGTTGGTTAATTTTAGATATAAAAGAGTAGTATATCCGGTGCAAAATAAATTGTTGAACATTTGTGTATTAAGTCAATGCCAAAGTTTGGCTGACGCATGCAATCTGTGACATTACAGTTGACTGAGTAGACACGGGGTCCTTTGTTCACAATCACAATATAACAACATGCATTCATCCGTCGGTTAATTTGACACTTGTTAGAGTAGTACCGGTATTCAAACATGGGTTTGATAGACATATTAGTGGTATCAATATTTGTTATTTGTTTACTTTACAAAGCAATCTTTTTAAAGTAATGGAAGAAGGAATACCTGGAATAGTATAACAGTAATCCTTCTACCCCCCCATTATTAAAAATAATAATAATAATAATAATAATAGGGTGGTTGTCCCACTGGCTATCATAAGTTGAATGCACCAATTTGTAAGTCGCTCTGGATAAGAGCGTCTGCTAAATTACTTAAATGTAAATAAATGTAAATGTAAGAACATATGGCAGAATCTTGCCTCCGGCATCCATGCTCATAAACACAAAGGAAGTCCTCATTCATGTCATATATCATTGTGCCAAACATTTTTATTTTCTGTTCAGCGCTTGTCCAAATTCATTTATCTGTATTTACTGTGTGCAAAATGGATAGTAGTACAAAACATTTCCAAACAATACTACTGAAGGTTTCTTTAGTATGTTATATGGTATATTAGATAGTATATGATGAACAAGAGATACTGTCTGCCACGCTTCTAGAAAACTTCTCATGGCCTGACAACTAACACAGGCTCTGATGATTTTTTGTGTGTGTTGTTTTCTCTGTCGCTGTGTGTCCACTTGATAAAGTTGTGAGATTGTTGGGGACATGTTTTTAGCTACTGTCTCAACACTGTCGTATTGATCCCATAGGCCTGCCACATAATGCCTCAATGAACTAACCAAATCAACAGCGTTGCACGAGTCCAGGTCAACTGCCTGCAGTGTAGTACTTGTGTTCTGAAATCGCATAAGAATGTTATTCCACATATTGCACAGAAAAGCAATCTCGAGTTTCTCTATTTTATCAGATATTTTGTTTGTTGAAGCCTGTATAATGGATAGTTCAGACACAGTGCACTAGTTGCTTGTGCATGTGCTGACCACCATATATTAATCAGTTTATTTACATTTGGCTGTAACCTCACAGTAACTGTCTGCCAGCGTGAAAGTGCTTTTAAGCAATAATTAAGAAGATGATGTACTAAGGTGAAGAACTCCTCCGTCTCAATGCAAATGTTCACACTATTTACCCCCACCAAATTGAAGGTGTGGGCAGCACATGGTACCCACTACAAAAAAAGGGTATCTCTCTCAGGTGCGACTGAAGACCTTTGTAGACTCCTGATATATTGCTAGCATTATCATAACGTTGTCCTCTTCAGTTGTTTATGTCAATGTCCATCTCCCGTAAATCACTGAATTGCAAAGGGCTTCTCCTGTGTGGCTATTAGTAGGCAGAAATTGGAGAAAATGCTCGTACCACATGATGAATGTAAAATGGTCTACATGCACAACATCTGGAGTGGAACCCCCACTGATTGAAAATTATTTCACTATCTTTAATTGACAGATAATTTCAGTAACCACCTTCTGTCCCATCAGTTCAATAAATTCCTTGCAGATCCCTACGGAGATAAGAGAGATTTCCTTTGCCGGCATTTCCGTATTTCTCTATGTGCTTTAAAAAAAGGATCACACTGGCTTATTACTTCAAGGATACCAAACTAATTTCCATTGTCAGGACGCCCCAATATTTCACTATGACCCCTGAAGTCTATCGTTCCCTCATCCGCTGTCTGGGTAATATAGTCAAGCACATTTTTTTTTATATGGCATTCAGATCCTTCATGATCAACTAAGCAGTCATTCGCGTGTTTCCAATCACTGTAACCAATACTGCCAAATGGCTTTGAATATGACAGTCCACTGTTCTTGTCCCCAAACAGTCGGCAAGCAAAACATAATACACTACCTTTCGAGGGGGAGTACAAAAGCCATTGCCTGGGCACATTTTCGCCATTAGCAAGTTTACGTCTGAAATGGGCTTTTGAAAAGTGTTGTTTCTGGTCTTTGTATTGATGTTCTAATGCTGATATGTCTGTGTTTCTGTTCTGGCACAATTCTGGTCCCTTTTTAGCCCAGTTAATACATTTACATTTGACATTTTAGTCATTTAGCAGACGCTCTTATCCAGAGCGACTTACAGTTAGTAAGTAATACGCACACTGTCATCAATTGTACCCCAACGAGCTGGGTCAGTGCTGTAGGAGTCCTCCTCGCTGACAACAGCAGCAACAGTAGACCCAATGAGGGAACCTGTAGCACATGTGGCGGGGGACAGTTGGAGGTTCCTTCTGCACGCTCTTCTCTGCTACAAGGCTAGCTGTGGTGGCCTTGGTCCTCCTCTATAGCAGCAGGTACAACGAGAATGAAGCTCGTTGAGGAAGTTGTTGCCTTACCAGTTGGCTGATCTTGCTCCTCCGCTTTCTGGTCAACTGCTGGCGGTGTGATTGGGAGCTGGTCCACATGATCCAGGCTAACAGCTAGCCCAGTTGCTGTTGTTGCTAATGTTAGCTCATCATCATCGGCGGCGGTTGAGTGGAACTGGAAGCTGGCTTACTGAAATATCAAGTTCGTTTTGATAAAACAATATGAGCATATCTTGGTCCCGGAACTCTTTCAGCCTGTGTTTTTTCTTTTTTGGGCCCCACTGCTTTCTTTCGGACATTTTGAACTGGCTGAGCTAGCTAGAGTGGACGTGACTTTGAGGAAAATCAAAGGCAGCCGGCAAATTACGACTATTAGACACAGCCAACCCATTGCGCCAGAGACAACAAATCAATTATTACAATTCCAAATATGGACAACTGTCAGTCAGCTGCTGGCAAACCACCTAATTCCATAAAAAATAAAAATAAATAACCGATTTTTTCCTGGACTGGGCTACACCCAAGGTTATTTTTAAAAAACTTTTTTTAATTTTAGTTGCAATTTTCTTTCTTCTATTTTTTAATTTTAATTTTAATTTTTTTGTGGGGGTGTAGATCAGCTTAATATTGCAGATAGATTGTAACTTCTATCAATGTAATTGTCTGCATCACTTCCAATCCCCCATGTTTTTTATATATATACTCCCCTTTATTACTTTTCAACCCCGCCATCCTTTCCCTACTTGGGGTAAATTAGTGAACAACAATGCCCAGGCCTCTACTTCCAGCCTATACTTACTATCTACACCTTATGGACACAGTCAATTTTACAATAATTATATTTTATTTGTTTTTGCTCCTGAACTACTTCTACTCTCAACCGCTCCGATCATTTTCAAGATGTCCATCCGGTTTGCTTCTATATGCCATATCTTTCTAACTGTGCTCTTTCCCAAAAGCTCCCAACATACAACATATATACTTATTATGGACACAGTATGCTTACATTATTAGTTATCTTGTTATTATTTGTTGTTATTTGTTATTAGTCCCATCCTTCAACTCCATTCAATACCTCCCATCTATCTCTTAACACCAAGGTTAGCATGTGCATTAAAACTCCCCTGAGTATAGAGTATCTTTCTGTCATGCAATGTTGCATACCCAACATTTTGAACATGAACAGCAGAAGAAGACATCCAACAAAACATTTAGTAATTTTTGGGTGATATATCTATTACCAGGCAATTCATATTGTTATTATGATGAATTGTAAGCATAGCCGCTGGTGCTGGGGGTGCTGTTGCCCCCCCTGATAAATTGAAAAATATATATATACAGTACCAGTCAAAAGTTTGGACACACCTACTCATTCAAGGGTTTTTCTTTATTTTTACTATTTTCTACATTGTAGAATAATAGTGAAGACATCACAACTATGAAATAACACATATGGAATCATGTAGTAACAACAAAAAAGTGTTAAACAAATCAATATATATTTTATATTTGAGATTCTTCAAAGAAGCCACCCTGCCCGTAGCGCGCTCTCTCTCTCTCTCTCTCTCTCTCTCTCTCTCTCTCTCTCTCTCTGTCTCTCCCTCTCTCTCTCTCTCTCTCTCTCTCTCTCTCTCTCTCTCTCTCTCTCTCTCTCACACTGTCACGCCCTGGCTCTGGGACTCTGTTATGTTGAGCCAGGGTGTGGTGTTTCTATGTGTTTTGTGTGCTAGGGTGATTTTCTAGTTCATTTGTTTCTATGTTGGCCGGTGTGGTTCTCAATCAGAGGCAACGTGTATCAGCTGTTGATTGTTGTCTCTGATTGGGAACCATACTTAGGCAGCCTGTTTTCCACAGTGTGTTGTGGGATCTTGTTCCGTATGGTTTGTATTGTAACCAAGGACTTCATGTTTCGTATCGTTTGTTGTTTTGTTCGTGTGGTGTTCTCTGAAGAATAAAGTATGTTCACTTATCACGCTGCGCATTGGTCCACTTCCTCCGACGATCGTGACACACACTCACACTCACACTCACACATACACACTCACACACACACCAGTTGTAATTACAGTATGCAGTACAAAGAAATGTGCACTATGTTAACAATAGTCTATTCCTAGGCGCTTGAGTTTCAAGTTTGGGGAAGCTTACATTTTATCGTACCATCTACTGATCTCCGTGCCAGTTATGATTTCCATATGCGCATTTTCATGGAACAGTTTCATTTCAATAGTAGCGTTTTCATTTCTCAAAATAATTTTAACTTGGTTAATAATACAAAAGGGAATTAAAATGATAAAAGTTAAAATGTCACTAATGCGAGAGCACCAGCCTTTGACATATGGACACATTGATTCACTGTGAATCATTGGCGGCTAAAGAAATGAGAGACAGCCTAGGCCAATGTAGCAGTAGGCCTATAACTTCTATTGTCAACTATAACCTGGTGGTTATCGAGGGGGAGGGTGTTGGATTTTTCAAATCCTGTGAGGAAATATAATTGACAATGGATTTTTTATATATATATATATATATATATAACTAACTCATTAACTTACTGTGTGAGGTGAAGAAAACATTTCTGAGAAGCTCGGCTTATTAGTGGTGGTGAGTTCAGACAATCAGACAATAATGGTATGAAATACAACAACAACAAAATCTCATACGTGTAGCAGGTTTTGCAAACAACGTTTCCACTCCCACTTCCCAGTAAACTTCACAGTAAATGACTGTAGGACTAATTCATCCGTGCATTAACAGAAATTAACAGAAATCCACCCTCCACCGCCAGCCCCCCTGCTCTCTGTGCTTGTCTAGCCCAGGGAGATGGCACCATGCCTGGGGATGAGGTATGGTTCCATATTTCAGCCTGGCGGTGGCAGCGCTGACGGATGGATCATTAGACGTTTGCCTCCCCTCCCCTCCCCTCCCTTGCTCGCTCACTGCAGCCACGGGTGTTATTTTCAGCCCTGTGAGTATAGATCCGACGCGGGAGAGGAGGTGATCTGGCAGGCAGTCACTAACCCCTGATGGGTGGACTGTGACTGTTTCTCAGGGAGTGTGTGTGACCGAGATGTGTGTGTGCGTGTGTTTGTGTGTAACAGGTGCGTGTGTGAGTGACACACAGTGATGTTGTGTGTGGGTGTGTCTGTGAACGTGTGACACAGAGATATTCTGTGTGTGTATCTGTGAATGTTTGTGTGTGCTGAGTTGGAGGAGGGGAGATGTATGGCATAGGGTTTATATGCATGCAGCTGTGGATTTGTGCGCACAGCCCACGTAGTCAAGTGCTCAGCAATGGGGTGTTCAGCAGGGCATAGTATTTCAGGTGGTGTGTTGTTTAGTACTTTCAGCTTGCTAACTGCCCTTGAAATCGGTAGAGCCTATGGTTCCTCAAACTTTGCTTTTAGCATATTGTGAGGAAGTTGGTTTATACTGTTTTAGACTCTATTCAATTTTAGGATATAACTTTTCTAGCTTGTCAAAAGATGGCACAGAAGTGGTCCATCAAGTATATAGAAAGAGAGAGGTCCAACGTTGACATGGTTTGGGGGCCGCACTTGGTCCATTTGCTTTTAGGGGCGACTGCTTTATGACTGGCATATAATCCTGTTTTATTGCTCAGATAGGCATATGCTGTCCCCATAAAAAGGAGTTAGCGCTGGCCTGCCCAGGGTAAGCAGCTTGTGGGAGCAGCCGACTGCATGGGGAGACTCACCGACTGTGTCCTAAAAAGCACCCTATTACCTGTATATTGCACTTATTTTGACCAGGGCTCCATAAGGCTCCGTAGGGCTCCATAGGGCTCCGTAGGGCTCCATAGGGCTCTGGCCAAAAGTAGTGCACTTTAAAGGGAATTGGGTGCCATTTGGGATCACAGCCACTGTTAAACCCTGATATTTACAGCATATTTGGCCACTCCAAATCTCTGTGCTCATGTTTGTCTCAGTGTTGTTTACATTCTAACAACATGGCCAATTACATATTTAAAAATTATAAATCTTGCAAATCTCATGAAGCCATTTGCAAATACCTCAAAGGAGTCCATTTAAGGTCGATAGAGATCATTTGGATTTGTCAAGCTCAACCTGACATCAACCTGAATTCAACCTGAAATAACCTTAACTCAACCGGAAATCAACTTGAAGTCCACCTGAAGTAACCTTAACTCAGGACTGTAATGACTAACAACTTTTCCAGATAGCACCACACTCGATGAACAGCTGGCTGCTCTCCGCGCTGCAGTACAAGTGATTAAAACCTAATCAGTTGAAGATATTGATAAAACTAATGTAGCGGATCATCCTCCCCATCATAATGTAATTTTCCAGACAATACCAGAGCTCTAGTTTCAGACAAGAATATACTCTTCAGGCTAAAGGGGGGGGGGGTTTATATGCCTTGGCTGAAAACACAATGAATAACATGGGCCTATTGTAATCTCTCTTTATCAATCGACTCCATTCCATTCTCCACCCCCACTGGATCTTTATCGCTCTATCCATCAAATTGTTTCTCAGAGCTAAGCTTGCCTCCAACGGTCATGTTGATGGGAATAGGGGGCCTAAGGCCACACAGGTGGCAGACAGGGCTGTCCCAGGTCTACGACCCAAAATTATGAAGACAACCTTTCTAATATAGCACAAATGTTCTGTACTGTAAAAGTCCACAGTGGTCCTGGACATGTGATGCCTTTGTCGTTTTGTCCATCTTGACTCAAGGTTTGACGAAGAATGTCTCCACAATGATATTCATTGACATAACATTTTTACTTTGTCTACTCATGATTAACCCTCAGCTATCTTGGTCCTCTGCCCTTTGTTGATGGTGATGCTGACTGTCCCTCTCTCTTTACACAGTGCTGGTCCTGCTGATCGTCACCATGCGACGGAGGAAGAAGGAGCCCCTGATCCTGGACGAGGAGCGTGACGTGCGTGAGAACATTGTGCGCTACGACGACGAGGGCGGTGGCGAGGAGGACACAGAGGCCTTCGACATGGTTGCTCTGCGCAACCTCAACGTGTTCCGCGAGAGCGGTGGCAAGACCCGCCGTGACGTCACCCCGGAAATGCCCACCCTCTTCTCGTCTTCCCGGCCGCCGCCGGACAACTGCATCTTCCGCGAGTTTATATGGGACCGGCTGAAGGAGGCCGACGTGGACCCGTCGGCGCCGCCCTACGACTCGCTGCAGACATATGCCTTCGAGGGCAGTGGCTCGGCCGCAGAGTCCCTCAGCTCGCTGGATTCCCTGAGCACGGACTCGGAGCAGAACTACGACTACCTCAGCGACTGGGGGCCACGATTCAAGAAGCTGGCAGACCTCTACGGCCACAGCGACGGCGGCAACCTCTTCGCCTCCTAGCCCTCGGTCGAGCCTGCCGAACTGTCGGCGCCGACAACGTAACAAATGAGGGAAGGAAACTGAAGAATATAAAGAACGATACAAAGGAAAAAAGGAAGGAAATGTGAGATGACGAGAAGATAATGCTGTGCTCTGAGAGGACATTTGATTGGTGTATAGAAATGCATCAATGTCGGCGAGAATAACTAATAGGATGGTGGTTTTCCATTCTAAAATGTTTTTTTTGAGGACTGGCAGGATTTTTCAAACAATGACCTTTGGGAGATTTTGTTAACTAGATTTAATATGATGGAAAGTATGCAAAGCTTAAGACATTGGGACGGGCTCCAGACCCTTTGGAAGGACCTCAACGCACAAATGTCCAGACTTTCTCAAGTCACCGTGACATTCAAATGGGACAAGAAGTGAACCAATATCTATCCTCCAGTGTTGTTACAACAGTGACATTATCAAGTACTCCATCATGTCGTGGTCAAATGAAAACAGTGCCACCTTGAACTGGCCCTGTAGTCTGTCACAGGGTTCACTGTGATCTGTAATATGTTTCAAATTGATTTTTATTGAACAGATTCTCAATTTCTTTACAAAACAAGATAACTCCATATGGATTTTACAGCAGAGGTTTTTTTTTAAACAACCGGTGGATTTGATCAATTCAGGCTTACCATGGTTCGTGTTCAGTAGGGCTCACCGTAGCAAAATGTTTTTAAACAGAAAACAGAAATTAGGGTTTCTTATTGGACCAGTAGTCTCTGCCCCTTTTCTTCCATTTGGTGCCTAACGAACACGGTCATGATCTCTCAACCATTTAGAGTAACATAAATAATACATTCCTATAAATGTATCTAGACACCTGCCAGGGATGTCCCCTGTCACACTCAAGTTTTGAATTAACATGCTTTAAGGGCCACAGTGCCGATGAAGGGTTTATGAAGTCTCCCTCCATTGATGTAAGGGAAGAAACACCTCTCACTTACATTGCTCCATTAACAACTTGACACACAGCATGATGCTGGTTTCTAAGAGCAGCAGCGGAACATTGTTCCCCTAGGTCTAAAGTTTTATTGGTGCCTGCTAATGAAATACGGCATAAAATTGCAGGGAGGGGGAGAAAATGCAAATAGACTGGGGGGTAGTAACGATGAAGAAAACCGAATCATGTCAGAGCCTGGAAGCCTTGTAAACATCTGCAGTGAATGCAGCGTATTGGTAGGTCCAACATTCAAAGCTGTTGTGATGTTTGTTTTATGTATCCTATGAGGTGTTCTAGCTACCATGTTGGTTTAAACTGTGTTTGTCTGTTTTTTAACGGAAACATAGCTGTAGCAGCATGGGAAAATACAGTTAGCAATGTGTTGGAGAACATTTACAGCAAAGCTTCGGGCACTTGTAAAAACACCAAGCCAAGGAGAATGTCAATTGCTATTTCACATACAGTGAGTAGAAATATAAATGTATGAAGTCAGGTTAGTTTGAAATAGAAACTTAACTTGCAAAATAAGAAATATGCATACATCTTGCTGCTTAAAACATATTTTGTGAGAGGGAAATGCAAGGAAAAGCAGCTGGAAAATAAATAAATCTAGTTCTAGCTCTTTAGGTTTAGGTCTATTTAAACATATTGGTATATATGCAGAAACATACATAAAATGCGATGTCAATACAATATAAAACACATGTAAAAGATACAGTATGATCAGTGAACAGTGCATCATCAATAAGTTGTAAACAACAAATTGGTATACCACTAAATATGCATATCAATGTCTTTAGTGATAGAGTGTCATTTACATAGTTTGAGAGCTCTTGCCAAGAAATAACTCTGGTGTCTTGCAGTGCGTCTTGTTGAAATAGAGTATTGCCTCAAACTCCTCAGATCATGCTGTCTCTCTGTAGTGGTTAGAAAACGTGTGCAGTGGACTTGTGTGGTCATGGAGGAGCGCTTTGAAGGTCTTGACTGTGGCTTCATCCCGTCTTTTCTCCAGGGATGGTAGTGAACTGTAGGGGCTGCCAATGATGTGACAGCATCGTCTCTGAATGCCTTTTATGTCCTTAGAGAGACTCTTTGGAAGGTCGGCCCACACTGGCGAGGCATACTCCAAGATTGGGCGGATGAAGGTCAGGTATACCTGCAGTAGGACTTCAGTTGGGAGTCCAGCTCATCTTGCTACACTTAGGTAGTAGATCCTGGGTTTAACCTTTTTAGGATATACCTGATGTGCTCGTCCCAGGACAGGTCAGCTGACACCATTACACCCAGCAGTCAGAAGGACTCCACACGCTCAACTGGGTGGCCGTTTACAGCAACCGCTGATGGAGAGGCCTTGTTGACAGCCCTTCTGAAGCTGATGACCATATCCTTGGTTTTCGTTTACATACAGGCAGTTGGTTTTCCCCATTGAGCCACTGCATATACCACTGCTTGTGTTTGGCCAGGTAGCTTGCCAGGGAGAAACTCTGTGAATGTGAGGTCATCAGCCTACTTGACAGGATGGACGCTGCTTGGGAGACTGGACTGGGGAACTCCAGCTGGGACTGGCTGTGAGTTAGAAAGGCATGTTCTCCACCTCACCGTCTGCTTGTGGTTGCCCAGTTAGCTTTTGATAGAGAGCCATCGTGAGCAGGACACCCTATGCTCCACTAGAGTGAGTAGGAGATGGCCATGGTTTATGGCACAATGCATCAAATGCTCTGGAAAAGTCTATGAAAGTTACATGAACATCCTGCTTTGGCACTTCATTTGATGCGTTGTGCCAGAGCAGACACTATTGACATGTTCTTCACAAAGCTATGTTGTGAGGACTTGATGTAATGAGCAGTCTCCTTCTCCAGTATGTTGTGTAGCAACCCCTCATAGGTTTTTCCTATGGAGCTGAGGAGAGCGATTTGCGTGTAGTCTTGGGGGAAGGTGGGGTTGCTCTTCTTAGGCACAGCACAGACGATGGACTCTTTCCATTGAGAGAGGGAAGTAGCTGTGTTCCATACATATGTTGACGGTATCGCACAGTATTGGTGCAAGCTCCTCACAGTATGTTTTCAGGAACCAGGGAGGAATCTCGTTGGGGCCTGCAGACTTCTTCCCATTCTGCCGCTTCAGATGGGTTTTGAACTGGCCAATGTTGAAACTGGGGGGGACAGATGTTTAACAACCTCAATTTCAGGGGTCATGCATGTTGTACCTTCCCATACAGAGGAAAACGGGCACTGAGAATGTCACATTCCCTCTGAGTATCCTGTTTATTGAGGGCTGAATGGTTTTCTCTGGTCTCACTCGCACCAATCAAACTTTTCAATGATTTGTACTCACATTTTTGAGTTAGACGACTTCAGCTGTTGGAAGTACTCTTTCTTGGCATTTTTTTTACCAGAGCTGCAACTTTCTGCTGAAGCATCCTGTTTTCTGCTTTGTCTTGACTGTGAAAGGCTTTCTGTCTGGATGAGCTGAGTCTGTGTGTGGTCATCCATGGCTTGTCTCTGGTGGTCAGTTAGCTTTTTTTTGATGGAGAGATTGCTATTGAGAGTAATTTGTAGGAAAGAGTTAAGTTCATCTGTCTGCTTTTGGGGGGTGTTTTGCTGTGTAGACTGATGTGAAACTATATTTAGTGCCATGGAGAGAGCTCTTAGGTTGTCAGAGGTACGGTGTCGTTTGTAGATGTACTGAGCTGGTGGTTTAGGCCATTCACCTACTGAACACAGTATGGTCTGGTGATCCGACTCACCTATCAGTGGTAGATGCTTGGCTTTGGAGTATAGGCCTTTCATGATGGTAAATATGGAGTCTAGTTGATTATCTCCACATGTAGAGTTTGTTACAACTTGGTTAAGGCCATACCTAGAACAAAGAAAACCATGCTTGAATCTGTTTGTGTCATCCAGAATCATAAGACCTGGGAGGGCGTATTTGCGTTGCACATGGTCCAAGCACACTGAGACCTCGCATCTTTAGAAGTTGGGGGTGGGATGTAAATGACATCTATTATAATACAGTTCAGCCACGGGGAAGGCGTGAGGGTTTCGTCCACAGCCAAAGGCACTCAAAACGAGTGTCCTCAAGTTCATGTAGTCATTTGTGCCTGATGTTACTGTCAATGTATAGGGTGGTCCCTCCTCCAGAGCTAGTGACCCTGTCTCGTCCATGCAGGCTGTAGCCTGAAAATGTCAAGTCTGGGTGATAGTTAGTCTCTATGAAAGTAATTACTATTATTATTTATCATAATTATTTTATTATTTATTTATTGTATTTGATGACGCCTCATACATTTGATGCTCATTAGTAGGAGAAAACGTTATATGATAAATGGAAGCAACACAGTCCTACATATCCTTTTCATGCTTTCGTGCTGACTCAAACCATACAGGCTATTTTCTTTTCTCATTGTCCATTTACACAGTTCCATCGACTATGGTGGGTGTGAAACACACCACCCCCATGCATTTCATTCAACAGTTCCGTAACATTTAACTTAAATCCAACAGGAATAAAGATATACAATGCAGTCCAAATGCATTTTTCAAGACTTCACATAAACACCTGCTAAAGAAACCTTATAATCTCTTAATTTTGATCTCATAACGATCTTAAGTTATTATCAGCTATTTTGAGGCCGTAGAAAAATTGGCGAGTTGATTATAAACGTATAATATATGTTGTATTATGTTATTATATATAATAATTAATTATACTGTTGGCTTGACGTGTTACCAGAAGATGTGTTACCAGAAGATGTGTTACCAGAAGATGTGTACCTTCACTTCTTTAGGGTGTTTTCACACTTGGTCCCTTTCAGACATTTTTTTTTAACTCAGTGCGGTTCCCTGAACTTTTTGTGCAGTATTAATTTTTCAAAGGAACTCAGACCCCTCATAAGAGCCTCCAAAGCGAACCAAACTGAGACCATCTCGAGAGGTGGTCTGAGTTCGATTCGCTTGAATTCCACGGTCTGGTTCATTTCTTTAGGGTAATGTGAACACAAAGCTTTCCAGGTTCGCTTGTCATTATT